ACCCATTACAAATGAGGCATTTGTTGCATCCAGTGGGGACATAATTACTGATTATAATGACTTACAACCCTGGACAACAAAACCAGTCATAAGTGTTAATTTTTGGAAATTGAGATTTATTCATCATCTGAAAGCGGAATAAACAAGCTTTCAATTGATGTATGGTTTGTTAGGATAGGACAATATTTGATTTTTGGCATAAAAGAAAAATCAATAATTTTGACCCATACAGTGTGTTTTTGGCTATTGCTACAAATATACCCCAGCGACTTAAGACTGGTTTTGTGGTCCAGTGTCACATATCTGAGTCCATGCCAGTCTGCTGGTTTTTGGTTGTTGGAATGTCTTTTCTGATATTTTCCACATTTGGATGTTGAGAACTTGAGCTAGTGCTCTTGTTGTGATGTCCTGATTTATAAAATAATTTATACATGGCATACAGGTAAAGTGAACGTACACCAGAGATTTGTGTATCAGCTGTAGAAACACTGGTGTTATCCGACAATGAATCTCCACTCACTGAAATTACAAAAGATATTGTTAGCTTTAATTTTTATGTATGCATTTATATACTTATGCATTTATATTATATACTTACAATCTCTTGAATGAGTTGGAATATCTTTTTTGACATCATCTGTCATTTGATCTTCAGAATGGGATGTATTGCTCTTGCTGTGATATCCAGATGATGGTACTTGACATTTTTTAGGCTGGAGCCTTTGAGGTACAGCAGGGTTTTGTGCATCAGCTCTGGTGCTTTGAAATTCTCCACTCACTGAAAATACAGCAAATGTTGTTTGATTGCTTTTGTTTGTGTACAGTATGTACTATGCATACCTAAATATTAGTGCAGCTTTGTGCAGTGGAATTTTCAAATTTTAATTCATTGATAGTAGATTGTATACAATGACATACATATAGCATCATTTTAAAGGGGTCATATGATGTTGCTAAAAAGAACATTATTTTGTGTATTTGGTGTAATGAAATGTGTTTATGCGGTTTAAGGTTCAAAAAACACATTCTTTTCCACATACTGTACATTATTGTTTCTCCTCTATGCCCCGCCTTTCTGAAACGTGTCGATTTTTACAACGCTCATCGGTCTGAAAAGCGAGGTGCCAGCTATCCACTGCGTTATGATTGGCCGAATACCTCAAGGGTGTGACCGAAATGTTATTACCCTTACCATACTGTGATGCTGTGTCCCGGAGCGACGAGACAAAACCATTAAAACCCATTATAAACGAGGCATTTGTTGCATCCAGTGGGGACATAATTACGGATT